TTAGTTAACCGCTATCGCTGCTAATTTTGGATTGAAGTAAATATGTAGCTACGTCACTTATGGATTCCAAACTGTGCTTATTAAATAAACTATGTTTGTATAACTTGTATCATCTTTTATTCAACGCTTAGCCTAATTTAAGCATTGTTTACCATGCTCGAAACAGGTTTCTAGAGTTGTACATTAGTAAGGTATTTTATGCCTAACGTATATTATGCCTGACGTCCATTATGCCTCATGACTTTATGTCCAACGTCCATTTTGCCTAACATCCGTATGACTCACGTATTTATGCCTAATGGGGTACGTTCGTATGGTACATATTCAAACTTGTTCGTGAAATATAGACTCATCATTCAAGATTAATTCCCAAGACTATCAAATTTTTTTTTTATATGTTGAGACCCTCCGCTCTCCCCCACAGCCTAATGACTCCATTATGCCTAATGACTTTATGTCCAACGTCCATTTTGCCTAACGTCCGTATGCCTTACGTATTTATGCCTAATGGGGTACGCTCGTAAGGTACATATTCAAACTTGTTCGTGAAATATAGACTCATCATTCAAGATTAATTCCCAAGGCAAACAAATTTTTTTTTTTATATGTTGAGACCCTCCGCTCTCCCCCCACAGCAAAAACTTCCACTCTGACTCCCCTGGTAGTGGACACTCGAAACTCAACCATGAGCTCAACCACACAAATTTGAAGAAAATTTTTCAAAGATACCCCGTTTTACGGTACTCAAGATTTTTTAAATGAATACCGAAAGTAAATAATAGTGTTTAATGACGATTGACCTATAACATATACAATATAAATATATACTAGGGTGGGTCATCATGATCATTTTTTCAGAACAATGTTTTTTTTTTTTTGGTTCCATTTGAGGTCCTAAACAACTGTGCGAAATTTGGGGTCGATTGGTTGTAGCGTGACTTTCCGGATTGCGTTTGAAATTTGCACGGAGATTAGTATGGAAAAACCTACCTTATTGTATTGCTAGGGACCATAACTTTGCTTGCACCATGCAACTAATCATGTAAAATTATAGTCTAGGAAGTTCCTAATCAAAGACTTTGCCCAAGAATGTATGGTGCTAGAATGTCCTTAAAAAAAGTTATAGCTAATCAAAGATCGATGTTACGAATTGAATGCCAAAAATCACTTTTCCTGCCAACACTGCCGGTGTACCAATCAGTGTCAGATTCCAAATTGAAATTTTGGAGTTTATTATTTTATCGATTTGGTATGTTCAGATGAATTATTCAATAACTATAGCTCTATCTCATAGACGTATTTGGATAGGAAAGTGCGGCTTTCTATTGCATCCCCCCACCCCCTCACTCATATCTTCAAACTGAAATAACTTCAGAAATTCCAATTTTATCGTTTTGGTATGTTAAGATGAAATATTCTAAAATAATTGTTAAATCTCATACGCTTATGAGAAGGGGCTTACTATAACCCCCGCCACCTCGCTCATATCAATGGAAGTAAAGTTTCAAACTGAAATAACTTCGGTGTTTCTCATGTTGTCAAGTTGGTAGGTTCAGATGTTTTATTCGAAAATATTTGCTCAATGAAGCTGTTTCAGCAAACGCAATAAGGACAATAGTTTTTTTTTTAATATTTGTTAATAGAGTAGATTAAGGAAATGCTTTTCTCCTTTGAATTACGCCTGTAAGATTGAGCAAATATTTTTGAATAACACATCTGAACCAACCAATTTGACAACATTAGAAACACCGAAGTTATTTCAGTTTGAAACTTAACTTCCATTGATATGAGTGAGGTGGCGGGGTAGGGATTGTAAACCCCTCCCCCTATCTAACGACGCATATGAGATAGAGTAATTGATTTTGAATAATTCATCTGATCATACCAAATCGATAAGCTAAGGAACATCGAAATTATTTCAGTTTGGAATCTGACTTTCATTGGTACACCGGCAGTGTTAGCAGGAAAAGTGATTTTTTAAATTTAATTCAAATTATAAATACTTGAAAAGTTATAGATTTTTTAGAGACATTCTAGCACCATATTGGGAAAAGTAGTTAGTCGATTTTTTTTAAAAGTGCCTTTTTTTTCAAAAATTCATAACTTCTGAAGCGCTCGACCGATTTTTACGGTTGACCCCTCAAATGAAATTTGTTTAATTTAGTTTTGAGGAAAATTACGAATCACTCAGAAATATTTGATTTTGCATGAAAAAAAACGTAACAAATGCTTTTTCTTCAACAACTTCTTATTTTAATATTTTTAATCGTAAGATCATTTAATTTTACATAACATATCGAAAAAATAGCGATGTCGGAAAATTCGTTTTGGAGATACATTTTTTTTTAATTACACCATACGTGTATGGAAACGATGAAGACGTAAACGTAGTACCCAATATGTCTCCATCGAATCACAACAGCTGTGACTAACGATATCTACGAGTAACTTACATTTTTTTTTTTGCTTTATTAGATTTTTTTTTTTTTTTTTTTTTTTCTTTATTATAGAGATTTTTAGCCTGAGGCTAGTTCATCTCTTTGCTTTATTAGAGAGACTTTCAGCCTTGGGCTGGTTCATCTCTTAGTAACTTACAATGGCCCGTATGAATAAAAAGAGTTTACTTTACTTTCCCATGCTTTTCTTACGGGACAAGTAAAGTAAACGCTTTTATTCATACGACCTAATCTGGGTGCAACATTCAGTTCAGCCTGGGGGCTGTCCATAAACTACGTATACCTTCTCCCTCGTATACCTTTCCAAAATCTTAAAAAAAAATACCTAGCGTAAACTTTGGCTGGACTCCCCTCCCCCATTAAAGTATACATGGCTTTAAAACAGGCCCCAGTTTGACATAATTAATTTTGGTATCAAAATTCTGGGAGAAGTACTTTAATGCTACAAAGAATTACAAGGAAGTAGAAAAATAAGTAAAACATCAAGCATTTCTTTTCTTTAATTACGGAGGCCCTGCAGAAGATCGAGTAGGTGGAGCTTTCAGCAGTGAATTACAGCATAGCGTGGAAGGTGCTTGAATCCCGCTACGAGAACAAGAAGCTGAATATGAAGGCACATCTGATTTCCCTTTTTGCCGTGGAAGGTTTGAAGCGAGAAAGCTTCGACGGACTGAGCAATCTCATCAGCGTTTTCGAGAAGAACCTGCAAATGCTAAAGAAGATCGGCGAGAAAACTACTGCATGCAGTTCGATTCTCGCATACATGGTGTATTCCCGGCCGGAGCATGCCACTCTACGACAGTGGGAAATACACCACAACTCAAAGGATGTACCGACGTACGGAAACCTTATCAGTTTCCTTCGAAGTCATTCCCAAGTAACAATGTTAGTTTTATGAGGGTTCTGTAGACCATGATTTAGACTTGTAGAATGCTATAAAACCTCGATAAAACCTGCAATGTTACTTGGGTTGTGCAGTGCTGCAATCCGTCGCCCCAACGAAGCCGAGTCAGTCTGATCAACGGTCGTCGAAGTCATCCGTGTGTCACACTATCGTGAGATCTTGAAGCAAGTGCCTATACTGCATTCGTCTGCCGCAAATTCCAAAGTCTTCAAGTTCCCGAACGCAGTGAAGCTTGTGCCTGAATTGTTTGAGTTCTGGCCACATCGCACGGAGCTGCGAGAAGGGTGTCTGTCTTCACAGCCAACAGAAGCTCCACTGCATGGTGCATCAGCTAGATCCTTTGTTCCACAGTCACAGTCAAATCCTCCGAGTCACACCAGACGGCAGCCACAATTCAAACCAACACACACACAACGCTAGTACCAATACATCCACCAAATTGCAAGAACAAAGCACTCAATTAATAGCCACTCCACCAATAGCCACACCCTCCACAAATCAGACACACATCGCACTCCCAATCACATCTACACAGAACATCCTGTTATCAACCGCTCTAGTCAAGGTTAAGGACCGTCACGGCAATTCCATGCTGGCATGAGCACTGCTGGACTCCTGTTTTCAAGCAGTTCCACGAATCGCCTTCATATCTGTCTGTCCAAGGGATCGGCTCATCTACGAGCACTTGAACAAAACTCGTGAGTGCTGTAGTAAGGTCGAAGTTGGATCGCATTGCATCGTTCGTGCTAGAAATGCAGTTTCACGTCCTCCCACGGTTGACTGTGTCGCTACCGACTGCATCCTGTGATCTCAGCGGCTGAACGCTTCCGGAATCGTCATCTTTGGCTGATCCACGCTTCTATGAACCTGGTCCTGTAGACATCATCATCGGGGCGAAATACAACATGGCCCTCCCGAGGAGTGAATCATGAAAAATTTAAAGTTGTAACCGAAGCACGATCGCATTGTTGACGTAGGACTATTTCGTTATTTTAATTTATTTAGTAGGGGAATTTACGTATTCTCGTCAATCTAAGCAGCGTCTGCACTTCTACTAGCATTTTCTCAGCGTCACGCACATATATGATGTGTCTGTTTGTTTACATTCATCTGCTGCTTGATTCTCTATCCATTCCAATCGACAGAATTTTTCAAAACGTTTTGAAAGCGTTTTTACAAGGCTCCAAACTTCTCAGGTGAGTGTGACTATTGTCGGCAGCCTCTTTTTCTTCGGCAACCTTCCCATTAGAACTGCGTGTTAACCAGCTGTTCTATTATCGGCAACTCGAAATCAACCCCATTTTGTAGTGCGTATGCTTTATTTGAAGAAAAATGTAGCGTTACTGGATTGCTCGATCGTTCAAATATAATCAGATTGAAGCTGAAAGGTTAAACAATCGTTTGGACACATTCAGGGAAGTGCGTTGATGGGAAAACATAGTGAAATTAACGTTTAAATTTTGGTTGCCGAAAACAGTCAATGGGTGCCGAAGCCAACATTTACCCTATTTTACTAATTACCATCCATGAAATAAAAGCTAAGCATTCAATTTGGAAGATTTAGTCTTATGTTAAAAATATTGAGAATTATTTCAAAACATTTAATTTTGGTTGACTTTGGAATTAAAGGGTGTCCACGATGAAATTGCCACACACAAAATTGATTCGCAAAATTCGAGTTTTCATCCGATTGCCATCAAATTTTCAGGGATTGAGAAATAACTATTAAACTTCATTTTACCATTTTACTCGTATTTTATTTACAGTCCATACGCAAATGCCCGCACCTTGGCCTTAACCCCGGCCATAAGATTCTGCACAACCTGTGAATCAACCGTTTTTTGCATGTAAACCCATACTTTCTTCAGTTCCTCGACTGTCTTCACTACCTTAGGTCGTTTAAGAAGGTGCTGCTTCATAATCGCCCAGTACTTCTCGATGGGGCGGAGCTCCGGAGTGTTGGGAGGGTTGAACATTTTCGGCACGAAATTGACCTTATTGTCCGCATACCACTTCAGCACGTCCTTGGAGTAGTGGCATGAGGCCAAATCCGGCCAGAAGATTGTTGGGACGTTGTGGGCCTTCAGGAGAGGAAGCAGCCGCTTCTGGAGGCACTCTTTTATGTACACCTGTCCGTTCATCGTGTCCTGGGTCACGAAAGGTGCACTCCGCTTCCCGCACGTGCAGATGGCTTGCCAAACCAGGAAATTTGGACATCTTCTGAGTGCGGACATGCTCCGGAACGCTGAACTTATCCTTGGCCGTGAAAAACAGGTTGCCGGGGATCTGTTTGAAGTCGGCCTTCACATATGTTTCGTCGTCCATGATGCAGCATTCAACTTTCGTCAGCATGTTGAGGTACAACTTCCTGGCACGGGTTTTGCCGGACTTGTTCTGCTTCTCGTCGCGATTAAGGGCCTTTTGTACCTTGAACGTTCGAAGCCCAGCCTTAGTTTTGGCCTTCTGGACAAAACTTCGGCTTAGGTGCAGCTTCTTAGCCACATCCCTAACGGAGGCGTTCGGATTTCGGTTGAAGGCCCCAACTACGCGGTTGTGATTTTTGGTGTTGTACGGAATACTTTTTCCTTCACTTCTGGGCTTCCGATCGGTGGTCAACCGTTCCTCGAACCGCTTAATCACTCGCGACACCGTGGAATTCGCGATTCCCAACGTTTTAGCGATGGAACGATGCGAGAGATCCTTGTTCTCGTGATGAATGCGCAAGATTTTATCACGCACGGGCTGTTCTTTCGACTCCATTTCCGCGAGTTTTGATCACAGGACTTTAAAACTTGCAGGATGTAAATAATGCACTATGAACTAAATCCACCCAAATTTTCATTAAATTCTACCCAACGGTTAAAAAGTTAGAGCAATTTCATAGTGTGGCAATTTCATCGTGGACACCCTTTATTCTTTAAATAGAGATACAATAAATCCAAAATCCACCAAAGCTAAACGTTTTGAAATAATGTGACATTTAGTAATTTTAACTTAAGTTTAAATTTTCAAAATTGAAAGCTTCGTTTTTATTTAATTCATAATTAGAATTCTAATATGAACAACCAACTATCAAGGTCTCTCTTTAATAGTTTTTGTTTGTCTTGTCTCGATGAGTCTCATCGTCGCCCACTGGTCACCATAGCCGGTCGAACTCCAGACGAAACTAGAACCGCACTACCATTCATACTGGCGACAAAACTCTGATGAGATAACGAAACCTTACCCCCAAGCTCCTCCCGTGATCCTATCCTTCGACAATGTACCTCTCTAACCTCGAGTAAGGCGCGAGTATTCGGCCCAACTCCTACTAGACATAGAATTAAGTGATTTTGTTACAAACAAAGAACAATGAACTATCGGCTCCGTAAAGCTTACACGATTGAGCCTACCAAATAAACGAACTAGTTAAAAAAAACCAACTATCAATAACTCAATAATGTTTATTATATTCCTTGTAATTGAAGTCTAAATTAAAATGTGCAGCATCCATGAGGTTTTGTTCATCAGTGAACAACTTTGAAATGGGTAGCACTTTGAACACTTGCGTTGCCTAGTATGGAAGTGAATATGGAGTGAATATTCATCATCCAACAGGTCTTATAAACTTTGTCAATAATAGAAACCTTCTTCTAGTTGAGCTATTAAGTAAAAGCAAACGATTAGAAGTCAAATCGTCACATAGGTATTGTTCATCTATACAACTTCATTCAAGATAGCAACCTTCTATCTAGTCGAGATATCGACTAGACTTGCTATTAAGTTTAGGCAATCAGTAAGATATCGAATTGCACATTAGCGTTATCTGGAGGACGATTTATGAATTGAGCTTATTTATCTGAATATTTCACTCAAAATCGTAGAGAGCGGAGCTTCTCGCGGAGTGAGTTAAAATTTCTTCAAAAATTAACTGAAAATGAAGGAGAAACATTTAATTGATCTTCATTAATCTACGAGTACAGTCACAAACCTACTTGAATACATATAAAGAAAATCGTATTGAAAACGTAAAATTTTGCTAGATTGTCCTTATAGGCTCTTAGTAAGTAATATGCTACTTTCTGCTATATACAATGGCCAATGCCGTCAAACGAACTGTCAAAAAGTACAGCCAAACGATCATCACTTATTTGGTAGTAGTACAAAGAGAGAGAAACTTTATTCCTATGTCGGTGTATTTTTCACGCAAGATGATTTTGATTTAATTTAGTTTAAAGTTGATTTGCCATTAGAAAAACTTTCTTCGATTTTCTAGGAAAAAAATCTACAATTTGCGGAAAATCGGAAGATTATGCATTAGTTAATAGAACGGTCCTTGGCTGAGCAAATTTTACTCTGTTTGAGTAAGTTTTGGCGTTCGTGTACTTTATCTCTATTCAATTTTGAGTTTGATTCATTGCTGATATTGACGTGCCAACCGTAAATGGAACGAAAACAATTGACTTGAGTGGTCTTTCCGTTCCCTCTATTGCTCCTAGTACACCTCCGGAGAAATTCTGGCTATATCTTTCTGGCCTGAACCCGCTCATCACCGATAACGACGTGCAGAGTATTGTGTCACGCTGCTTGAGCTTAACTGAACCTGTCGATGTGGTGCGTTTGGTTCCCAGAGGAAAAGTCGTATCCAGTATGACATTTGTGTCATTCAAGATCGGTTTGGATCCTTGTTTGAAAGATGCTGCACTCGATCCGGATTCCTGGCCTGCCGGATTACAGTTTCGCGAGTTTATTGATTCGGCAAAAAACTAGCGTGCTACGTTTCTCCAGCTGTTGACACCATCGCCACAACTTCATCGGATCCGGGACACCCTAAAACAGGCACTAAGGAAGCTCCCGAGCCCTCCGACCCAGTCGCGCTTGCTGCTGACATCCGCCATCGTCATCGTCCCGGTCCTGTGGTCGGTGGTGGTATCGGGGGCTTCCGGCCTGCAACTCCAGGCGAGTATAATTGCGATTTCGAACTTTCGGTACCTGATTTCCCTTCAACTTCCAGTTCGCGTAGTGGCATCTTGAGTGGTCTCCGGATTTACTACCAAAATGTGCGTGGGCTGCGGACTAAAATCGACCCGTTTTTCCTGGCTGTCTTGGAGGCTGAGTACGATTTGATTGTTCTGACAGAAACGTGGCTGGATGACCGGATTTACTCACCGCAGCTATTTGGATCGCATTATTCCGTCTTCAGAACCGACCGCTCTCCCCTAAACAGTCAAAAATTGCGTGATGGTGGGGTTCTGATCGCCGTCACAACGAAACTGACCAGCTATGTAAGTACCTCGCCCATTTCAAGTCTGCTAGAGCAAATCTGGATTGTTGTGGATCTGCCAAGAACCAAGCTCAGTGTAGGGCTCGATTTCGTCTCAATTGTGCCCCAATTCTCCCGCTCTCCTATTTGGCGACTACAACCAAGCTGGTTTACAGTGGTGTTTCTCTGACAGTGGCACACCATTCATTGATCCTCTGCTATCGCATATGCCGGTTGCTTGCTGTGAACTTCTGGACGGATTTAACATTCATGGGTTCACTCAGGCGAACATTTTTCCCAACCGTAATGGACGTTTGTTAGATCTTGTTCTGGCAAATGACTCAGCATTACCAGACACTTCTGTTTCTCTACCGGTCGAGCCACTAGATGCCGACCATCCCGCTCTCGTCGTGTCACTAAGTTTATACACTCCAATTGAATATATACCGTTTTCCGAGTGCTGCTTTCTGGACTTTCGCCGGGCCGATTACACTGCATTGAACAATGCGCTTGCGGAAATAGATTGGCACTGTATCGAAACGGCCGCTAGTGTCAATGATGCTGTGGATTGTTTCAGCTCTGCGCTGGAAGAAGTTATTTTCCGCACTGTCCCAGCAAGACGTCCCCCGCAGAAGCCTCCATGGTCGAACCCACGCCTACGTAAAACGTCAGCGCTCCGCCGCACTCCGAAGGTACTGCAGCTCTCGCTTACCGTTCTACAAGCAACAGTTTAAATTCGCAAGTCGTCGCTATCGAAACTACAGCCACTTCCTCTATAATCGGCACGTGAGACGCACGGAAGCGAACCTTCGGTCGAACCCGAAAGGTTTTTGGTCGTTTGTAAATTCAAAACGGAAAGAATCCGGGCTGCCTTGTTCCATGTTCCTCGGAGATGATACGGCCTGCAGCGAAAGTGAAAAATGCAGCGTTTGCTCGTCAATTCAAACAAGTCTTCCACGATTTTTCCGCTTCACCGACATAGGTGTTGGTCGCAACCTCCGGGATGCCACGTGATGTTTTTAGTTTTGACATACCTCACATCACTGAAGACATGGTGATAGCCGCAACACGCAAAATGAAGAACTCATTCGCCGCTGGTCCTGACGGAATTCCCTCGTCAGTTTTAAAACGATGTGCAGTCAACCTCTGCCTTCCACTTGCGCGACTTTTTAATTTCTCGGCACAGCAAAGTGAATTCCCCTCCCGCTGGAAGCTTTCCTATCTGTTTCCAATTCACAAAAAAGGAGACAAACGGAATGTCGCTAATTATCGTGGGATTTCCTCCATGTGCGCCTGCTCTAAACTTTTCGAGATTATTGTAAATGATGCTCTGTTTATGTGCTGTATGGTGTTTACCCCAAGCGATCGGTTTCCAAGAACCTGGTGCAGTTTACCTCTGACTGTCTGCGAAGCTTGGATGCTGGATGGCAAGTTGATGCTGCATACATGGACTTAAAAGCCGCTTTTGACAGGGTGGATCATGAAATCCTGCTTGCTAAGTTGGAGATACTAGGTGTCTCGTCTACGGCTGTGAAATGGTTCAGATCGTACTTAGTGAATCGCTCTGTACGAGTCAAGATTGGCGCGACAGATTCAAATGTTTTCTCCAACAACTCGGGAGTCCCGCAAGGCAGCAACCTGGGACCTCTGCTGTTTTCGATCTTTTTAAACGACATCGCTCTGTTGTTACCATCTGGATGTCGTCTTTTCTACGCAGATGACGCCAAAATCTACAAAATTATCAAAAGCCTCTCGGACTGTTGGGATCTCCAGCATATTCTATGTATTTTCGCTGACTGGTGCACGAGAAATTTGATGGGCCTGAGCATCGAAAAATGCAACGTCATCTCCTATCACCGTAAAAACGAACCAATTATGTTTGACTATGTGCTCTTTGGACGTTTCATTGCCCGTGTAGAACAAATAAAGGATCTCGGTGTTACTCTGGACTGCGGACTCACCTTCAAAATCCATTATAACGACATCATTTCCCGAGCCAATCGCCAACTGGGTTTTATTTTCAAAATTGTCGATGAGTTCCGGGACCCGTTATGCCTCAGATCACTTTACTGCTCACTTGTGCGGTCTATATTAGAATCAAGTGCAGTTGTATGGTGCCCTTTCCAAGCCACTTGGATCGTTAGAATCGAATCTGTTCAACGAAAGTTTGTGAGATATGCTCTTCGTTTCTTGAACTGGCGTGACTCATCGAACCTGCCACCGTACGAGGAGCGTTGCCGTCTTCTGGGCATCGAACCGCTAGTGGTGCGACGGACGGTAGCTCAAAGTATGTTTGCTGGAAAGCTTCTCACGGGTGACATCGACTGTCCAACTTTGCTGGCCCAGCTAAATATGTATGCTCCTGAGAGACCTCTTCGTCAACGCGAATTTCTGTTTTTGGAGCCACGAGGCAGAAATTATACGCAGAATGAGCCAATTCGTGCAATCAGCCGACAATTTAACTACTTTTATTGCGAATTTGACTTTAACGTATCAGCAAATGTGTTTCGTCACCGGTTACTTGACCGTTTTCGTTTCGTTGACCATACCTATTTAGATTAAGTTTTATTCATTAAGACATTAAATGTCAGTTGAATTATTAAATAAACAAATAAACAAATAAATAAAATTTACCGAGCCCGGCATCAAACGACCTGGCAACTGCCACGTGCT